GAGAGAGAGAGAGAGAGAGAGAGAGAGAGAGAGAGAGATGATAGAGATAGAGATAGAGATATATAGATACTAGATACTAACTTCAATATTCCAGTTTCCACTAGATGACAGTGTTGCATCAGAAGATTAAGATGGCCTCTCTTCCTTCCACCTTGCCTGTTTCCCAAAAAGCTAAGCAGGACTGGATGTAGTGCAAGGCAAACCACTTCTATATTACTGCTGAGAAAACATATTATATCTCAGGGAAATTACTAGCTATCAGCAATGTGCAAAGTGTGAGCCACATCTCAGTAATGCGGATATAAAGGGGCTGTCTATAAATATGATAAAGATGCTAATACTGAATTGACTACACTCCTGTATTTGGAGACTATAGCTTTCCGCAATGTGGGGCCTTATAGAAGTTTTTAAGTCTCCCAAAACTTACAACTAGAAAGCATGTTTAGAAACATTGTTAGACTGCACTTTGAGTCCTTCTTCAGTGTCATGTATGTTGGATGGGTGATACGTGTTGGAATTCCATAGTATCTGGAGGAGTGCATGTTACCCATCTCTACTTTAAATTACAAAAACTGTATTGGCCACATATTGGCTGTTTTATCACAGGAGGGCAAAGAAGGACCAAGATTTCCCCTCCATTTCCTGAGACATCTGTCATAAGCAGGAGTCAGACTGGTGATGAAGTGAAACAATTTCATATAATTCCTATTTTCCTTCTTTTCAATTTCCTTTTCAATATAACTTTAGAAAATGAGCATTTGTCAAGCTTCTTTAAAAACAAAAATGCTCATGGTGAAATTTGTTTTTGCTATTAATTCAGACGGTGTTAAGACTATAATTACTGGGATTAGGTGAGTAGATCATCCATGGGGGAGAAGGGAGATTCTGAATTATTCAGCACTTTAAAAAAAAAAAACTGATCCAAACCTGGTTTGATGCATTATTACACTGTTTGACTGGCAATTCCAATCTGGGCTATCCATTTTTTTAATGTATGATAAATTAAATACTAAATAAATCAAGTAGTAAAATTAAATTATGGTTCAAAATTCAGAGATGCATATAAGGAATGCTCCAGGCTCTGTTTTCTGACTTACTTCTAACTTTTCCAAGGAAATTTGACAACACTGCAAATGGTAGGGAACCAGAATACGTCTATGTACTTAAAGCAGTAACTAAATTAACAAAGGACTAAAAGTGTGCATAGGCAATTGCATCAGTTGTTTAAAGGGGGGCATGTGCTTCTTGAAAGCTAAAACGAGTCTTCAAAACTGTGGGTTCCACAGCCCTCTGAAAACCTTCAGAAACATTTTGCACATTTCTGGTATCTAGTAATTTTCCTCAGCTGTCACGTTAAAAAAATGCTTCTCTTGGATCAAGCTCAACAGCATGTACCAATAAAGGAGAATATTTGTAGCTAAGGGTTAAAATGTGGGGTCCTTGGTACTCTCTGGGCTTGGTTGTTTTCTGGAAGACATTTAATTACCAAACTAGATAACATCATCAGTGCTGTTGTTATCTAGTAAAACAACCAAGCTCAGAGAGCAGCAGTATGTAGTTTTCTCAGCAACAGCATGGAGGTGGTTTGCTTTGTACTAACTAAATCCAATCCTGCTTAGATTTTTTGGGGGGCATTAGGAAGATTGGATAGTGCTGAGGCTGGTCACATTGCACACCATATTTCTGTGGTAGGTTTTTCACCCTGTGAAACAGGCTACTCAGAGGAAACAATATTTGACTGTTTGAATGTAATAAAGTGCTAGGAGAACAACATGTTCTTGCAAAAATGAGAAGTGTCTAATACTTAAGTCTTTTAATATTACTAACTTCCACTTTGTAAACGTGTGACTTTTTTTTAAAGGGACATAGCTGCAAGGAATTGCCTTCTGACTTGTTCTGGTTCTGGGCGAGTAGCCAAAATCGGTGACTTTGGAATGGCCCGAGATATCTATAGGTAAGGAGAAGGGAAGTGGGATGGCTAAATGTTTATTTCAATGTGAAGAAAAAGTATCAATGTCTAACAAGATTAAATTGGGGGAGCAATTCACAGCACTTTTACTTGATTATGCAGCAGTAGAGACATTATCTATCCATGGAATAAGAAGGAAGGTGGAATGATGGGCGCTTTATTTATTGATGCTAGTGAATATTTCATTTTAAGAGCAGATGTTCAGACTTACTTACAGAGCCATGGTGGCACAGTGGTTAGAGTGCAGTACTGAAGGCTACTTCTGCTGACTGCCAGTTCAAATCTCACCAGGCTCAAGGTTGACTCAGCCTTCCATCCTTCCAAGGTGGTTGTAATGAGGACCCAGATTGTTGGGGGCAATATGCTGACTCTGCAAACTGCTTAGAGAGGGCTGTAAAGCACTGTAGAGTGGTAAATAAGTCTAAGTGCTATTGCTATTGCTACTTGTGTGAAATGCAGTCTTGCAGGGAAAATGCAGGGAAGAAGGAAAGAGTGGATCTTTTTGTTGCCTTACAATGCTCTTCTTTTTCTACTTGGCCAGAGCAAGCTATTATCGGAAAGGTGGGAGAGCCATGCTTCCGGTCAAGTGGATGCCTCCAGAAGCTTTCCTGGAAGGCATCTTCACTTCCAAGACAGACACCTGGTAAATACTTCTCTTTAATCTTGGCCTGTGGAATTGGCTTCATAACTGCTGAGAAGTCCATTCAAAGCATTCAGGAGGCTTATTCCCAGCTCCACTTGAATGGTTACGATTGTTGTGAAGTTTTTAATCTGTTTCTTGTATCTTGTTTTTTGTCTTGTTCGTTTTTTGTATCCCCCCCTTCCCCACTTGTTTGTTAGCCGCCCTGAGTCCCTAGGGAATAGGGCGGCATACAAGTATAATAAACATTCAACATTCAACATTCAGCTACCTGCAGATAGGATTACAGGCTAAATCACTTTTTTTGAGATAAACAGAAGTGGCAGGGACTGTTGTGGCGGAAACAATATTTTGGTAGCTCTCTGTCTATAACTAATAGGAGGGTGGTTGGGAAGCAATGGTAGAGACTGGGATAAACGGCTTTGATGGTACTTAACCCAAAGGATAATACTCTGACTTCATTTATGTCAGGTCCTTTGGAGTGCTGCTTTGGGAGATTTTCTCCTTGGGCTATATGCCTTATCCTTGCAAAACCAACCAGGAAGTATTAGAGTTTGTTACCAGTGGAGGAAGAATGGACCCTCCCAAGAACTGCCCTGGACCTGTGTGAGTATGACTGCTTTATTCAAATAAAAAGGGGGACATTCAGAAAACAATCAAGATTATATTTAATATATTTAATTCCACTCTTTAAAGTTTAGGATTATCAAAACTGTACCAATTTAGATAAATGTTGTCCTTACTACCTACCCACACTGGAGAAAAGGCAGACCAGAGAGGAGGGGAGGGAGGGGGGGGAGAGAGATATCAGCATTATATTTTCCTTAAAATCATTAGGATCTTCTAAATGAGCAAGAAGAGAGTTAAAAAAAAGGAAGACTGTGCCTGGCTTCCTATTGTAGCTGGCTGAAAAACTTCTGGCGCTACTTTTTGTTGTAAAATTATGAACATGCCCCCCCCCTTTTTACCATCTGAACATTTGCTTATGGTATGAGGACAAGTGAATCATCTTGGAGATCTCCCGAGGCTATGACCAATGTTGCTTCACTGAACCCTTATTTAAAGTCCTTGCTGACACTGAAACCTCATCTTCTCTAATAAAGGGGAAACCTTCCTCTCTTCGCTTGTTTGAGAGAAATTATTCTTTATTCCAATTTCTTCTTCAAGCTATCGAATCATGACACAATGCTGGCAGCACAGTCCTGAATACCGTCCAAATTTCTCTACAATCCTGGAAAGGATCAAGTACTGCACACAAGTAAGTGGTCTTCTTATGCAAAAAATTTCAGGACCCTCACTCACTTGTGATCAGATGATCCTGATAATTGGCCAATCTAGTTTGTGATTGCCTTCTGAACTCTTATTTGTCTTCTTCCTCACTCCTACCCTACCCATCCACAACCCCACAATCAGGGGTGGGATCTTAGGGGTTTAACAACCAGTTCGCTGAGTGTACATGTGCAGTTTATAGAAAACTCACCTTCCATGTTACTGCTGGTGAGGAAAACAGGTGAGGCGTGGCAATCCACTCTGCTGCGCCTATCAGCTGGGCTTCGGAAAAGGAAATATAGGTGAGTATAGCGCAGGGGTGGGCTCACTTTAAAGTCAGAGTGAACCAGCTGATAGTTGGAGCTACCAATTCATTGGAAGCGGTCCAAACAGGTAGAATCCCACCCCTGCACACAATTCCTTACATCCTGGAGAGGTTTTCTGAAGAATTTTATATATTTTTATATTCAGAAGCACAATTGATTATAATCAGAAATTAATGGTGTGTACTTCACTTCTGGGAAATGTTAAGAAAAGGAAGAGTCGTGCACACATACATATAATATCTACTGCCTTAATGAATCACCATCTCTCTTCCAGAGCATATGTGTGGAAATTCTCAATAATCCAGATTATGGTTGTCCCAAAGATGCTTTTTCCAAAGGCAACTGGACTTTCTTTTTTCCTTGAAGATACTTCACTTCTCATCCAAGGTGCTTCTTCAATTCACCATTCACCATATTCAGTTCACCATTCAGTCAGAACTGAAGAATAAAGAAGAAAGCCTAGTTGCCTTGGAAAAAAGCCTTTTCTAAGTTAAGTAAGACCATGCATCTATGGATTTTGTTTAGTTTGGTCTTGTGCAACTCTAAGAGAGAGTGTCTGCTAAGCCTTTTTACGAAGAGTAGCACGAGAAATCCAACATCTTGGTTTGTCTTTTAGGACCCTGACGTGATCCATACTGAATTGCCCATTGAATGCAGCCCCATACCAGAGGATGAAGGAAGCACTGTGCTACATCCAAATAGCAACACAGGGATAGTTCCTTTGCTTGGGAATCAGTGCCCTCAGATAAGCCACCAAGCAATTGAAGAACATGATTCTGGGAACAAATATGGACAATGTCCCCAAGAGCTATTAGTGGAGAACCTTAGTAACTGGAGAGCAAGAAGACCCAGTTTGCCACGTTTCAATTATTCCAGCAGTGGGGCTTGGGCTCAACCAGTCTTAAACCAGAAACTGGATTCCACAAGTCAGCCAGCACATAAGTTGAAGAACAAAACCAAAAACCTTTGGAACCCAACATATGGATCCTGGGTGATGGAGAATAATTGCCAATCCAGTCCCAGCTCTAAACTCAACACAATGCAAGAGCGAGAAGATTCTGGATTTGATGGGACTTATAGCCCCTCCCCTACTTCTCGGGCATCCCCTTCATCTCCAAGTCAGAACCATTCTCCTCACATTGATATTGGCGGGATTGAACTGGTGAAGCTGCAGAATTTCCCTTGCGGCAATGTGAATTATGCTTATGACGACCTCTGCTATGAAATAGGTCACCCTTCACCTTTGGCTGTAGAGCCAGCCACGGTCATTAGGAGTGGAAGTCTGCACAGGGATAGCAAGTTTGTTTTCAAGACAGAGAAAACCTCAAGGGAGAGAGATTCTGGTCTCTCCTTGTCTGATGATCTGAATGTTACTCCTATGTAACAGGGGATGCCGAAGAATCATATCTTCAACTTTGGGTACGGCTGCAAGAGCAATTAAAATGTCCTCCATCCCTATTCTTAAATTGGGCGGATTAATATCACTCTCTGGCCTCCTTTCCTATGAATGCCCAATGAAGCAGTTCAAAATGTAACATTGGTTCCAATCTATTAAATTCATGGTCACAGAAAGAAATGATGTCCTTGTTACATTGGTTCAGGCTTTAGTTGGAATTGGTCATACCCAATCACCTCTAATAAAAATTATCTATATCATAAAACAGAATATGTAAGAAATGGCAAAAACCAATCATTACCGGTTTAGACCAGTGGTCTGTAAATTATTGTACTTTCCACCTGATTTATCATAATGCTGTATGGGAAATTAAATATACTTAGTTTACTTAAGGCACTATTGCCCAAAGTGAATGGGAACAAGGAAAGTAGATTAAAAAAAGGACAGAAATTATCTGTTTTCTGCAGAAAAAGCACAGAAAACAAATAAAAGATTGCAAAGGAGCAAGCAGAACAGAGGCCTTCCTTTTCATTACTGAAAATGGTTTTGCCCCACAAAGTCCAAATTAGGTCTCTGTAGTCAGAATTATTCCTCATTAGTTATAGCTCAGTGGGCTAAATGCTTTTAATGGACCTCACAAGGCAGCCCTAATGTACAAGCAGTCTGTGTTCAATAGAATCCAGACCAAGGGTCACCAACCTTCTTGAAAATTAAGGAGTTATGGTTCATGTTCCCTATTAGCAAGTTCAGAACAGGATTGGGGGACAGAAAAGGATATTTAGAAGCAGCATGAATTTATTAGGCAATGTAACTCTTTAAATCATAAATCTTCATAGAAAATTCCATTTTAGCCCTAGTCATTTCAAGGATGCATTTCTGTTTTACACAAGGTAACTTTTGAGCGTGTTTCACTGCAGGGAATCAATACAGACTTTAGAGCTGTCAAAGGATTCAGAGGACTGTGTACAGTATGTTCATGGAACTGATGTATAAACTGGATAGATGCTCAAGAGACATGTTCAAGGCTATATATGCTACTTTTTAGAATCAGTCTTGCTGTATTTATTTTATTTTACAGTTCTCCAGCTGAAAGGTAAAGTCTTCAGAAGATGTTCAGTATTGTTCTGTTGTTATCAGTTCTTGAGCTTAGCTAAGCTTTTCTCTTGGCCTTGGTTTAGGGACCATGGTCGAGATAAGAGATTTCCTGACATTTCGATGGCAACTATGGCTGGGATTTTCAGAGGGTACACAGACTACCTTGTCTGTGAAGATACCAGCCACAAGCCCAAGTGAAACGTCATGAAATTTATTGTCAAGACGACCAGCGTTACTAAACCTTGAAACCCAACACTGCTCAACAGATACTGGCTGTAAAAGCTTACACCAGTATATTCTTGTCTTAGAGTTTGGTGTAATGTGCAAATAATAGGTATATATGTTATGTTTGTATGTCATTTTAATCACAATATAATTATCTGCCTTATTGGCAGTAATGGACTTCTTTCCACAAACTCCGCAAAACTTTGGAATCATGAAGTAAAGCCTAAGTAATTCATTAGTTTGGTGCAGCAAGAGCAGAAAGTTTTCTTGAAGACCACTGTTAAAACTTTATTTAGCAAAATTAATGATTAAGAAACATTTCCCAAAGATCTTTAATACCGTTTTAGAAAAATAAAGTCCTTATTGTTAGTGCACAGTGCTTTTATTTTGTATCTCTATAATCTATGTGGCTATACAATTTCTCACTGGATCCCAAGATCCTGGTTGCACTTCTTACCTTTCCACGACTTATTATGGCTTGCTGTGCTATCTTCATAGTTTACTTTGATCCAGGCATAATTTGATTTACCATCCTGTTCTGACATTCTTTTTTTGTAGTAGCCTAGAGAAGATGGATGCTAATGGATAAAATACTCTCCCAAAATTGTAATTTCTCCGCAGACTCAGTGTCAATTCCAGATTCAGGTCTGTTGAGGCATCTGTATAATTGAAGGGTAGAATCTGGGTCGGTCACCGGGACCAGAGGTTTAGTGTTACGAGGTTTCGGACTCATGCTGGAGCCCATCCTCAGAGAACTACTCTCTCATCAGAATGTGTCCCACGTTGTGGTGAGAAAGAAGTTCTCTGAGGATTCCAGCACAAGTCCAAAAGCTCAGAAGACTAAACCTCTGGTTCCAGAGACTGACCCAGATTGGATCCTGCAACATTATCCTTTGCCTGCATTATAATTACTTATAACTATTTCCTCTCTCTCCAGCCTCTGAAGAGTTCTTTGGAAGAAAAATTATGGTAACAATATATGTAAGATCAGAGGATTATAAATTGAAAAAAGAAAGATTGACTCTTCATAAAATTCCATGCTAAGGCAAGACTATTGTGCAATAAAAGCAAAAACAGCACTATATACTTTCATTGTTTTTTCCTGATACAATAAAAGTAACTGTAAAAAGATAAATCCTTTCAGCTGCTTCACTAGAATATACCTGTATTTCAGGGTGTATCTTGGCATTATGTTGACTGAAGAATGTTTATTATTTGTTTTAAGGGGAAAATTATGCACTCCACATAATTTCCCATCATTTCAAAAAGGAAAAAAAAGCATTTTTGAAATCATCTTATTAGCCCTGCCTATTTTCAATCAAGATATGTTAATGAAAACTCAGCTCACCAGTCCCCATAGCAGTTTACATTTTAGAAAATATGGGTGATGCGGTCAGCCCCAGAAGTAAGTAAACCAGAACAGGAAGTCAGCTCCGCAGACAGATTAAAACTACTTTTATTGAAATTGGCTATAAAAACAGAAACTTGCAAGACAATTGTTCTGTAGAGAGTTGGTATTCTACCGGTTCAGGCCGGATCGCCCAAACCTGTAGCTTAAATCACAGGTGGCTCTGCCTACCCATGCCTGGCTCGAAGGCATCCCATTTAGGCCCTTTTTTCACCAAAAGCGCATGCGCAGATCTGTGCATGCGCGGAGCTGGCGCATGGGAGTGAAGCAAGTGTGAGCAAGCACTCATATTTGCGAACCAGTAGGGAATTTAAGTGTATACCACCCCTAGTTCTGTACCTCCTCCTCAGCGGATTAGGAAGGGACATGCCTGAGTTGCTTCTGAATGTCATCCAATCATGGACCTGAAAAACACTTCAATCCCTTTTGCCTAGACCAGTCCTTCAAACTTTTTTCTGTAATGATATCGTCCCACTTTTAAACAATTATGGAGGACATCTAAAGAGCTTTTGTTTGCATGGATTATATTTAAAAACTAAACTTGACACATTCACTACTGTTACTGCTTCTCACAGCACTTGATGGAAGTTTAATATTGTATTATTTTTCAACATAAGATGGCATATAATGTTGACCTTCTGGACCCTTGAGAAGGTCTTGGGGACCTCCAGAGGACCTCACTTTAACAGGCATTGGCCTAGGCAACATATTTTGCATATCTCCATCGAAGACATCTTTATTCCTTCCTATGGCTTGACCTAGTGGTTCAGGATATCATTTTTAACTATGCCAGAAGGGTGGGAGGAAGTTTTCTGTTTCAGGCTCTGGCTGTTGGGGATATACACTGATATGTCACATTTGTTGTTACCACCAAACCTCATTCCAAGAAAGAGAAGTCTCAACCTCAGCCCAAAAGTACAGCAATAGTAAAGCATGTGCAGTTTCCATCACTCTTTTTAACACCCCCACATACTTATCAGGGAAAGAAAAAAAGAGGAAACAAAACAGAGAATCTCTCTTGTGCTTCTGATAAGAGTTTTAGAACTTCAGGAGTATTGTATCACTTTCTTTTATTACAGTTCCTCTTCCCACCACTTATATCAATGGCAATATAGACTTCCATTTAAAAAAAAAATCTCATACAATAGTATATACTAATAATTAATGAAACCTTTCCTTCTGCACTAGGGGTCTGAGGAAAATATTGCAAATCCCAAAGATTCTTTGTTTTCTTTAATACTATTATTGTGCACCCATTTATTTATCTAATTTGACATTCATCTGTCCCCAGTAAAGAAAGAGACATGATACCAAGAACAGGAGGACATCTAATATAAAAATTTAATGAACATGTTTTTAATTATATTTATTTGTTATAGCACATTTTGACTATTCAGGTTCTTAAACCCATACAATTAGGATACCCAAATTCTTCACACTGTAGTGTTTGGCACAACATTGTCTATAAATGAAAAAAGTTTTTGTATGCAAGTAGTAATAAAACTAGAGTTGTAGTTAAAGTCAACTTGGCTATCTGATTCATAGAATTCAGCAGGTGAGAGTCCAGCTTTTTCTATTTAAAACTCACAACTCTAAATTCTCAATGGATTGTAAAACTCTTTTAAGTACAAAATTATTTGCCATTCTCTATATTGCACTTTTCTTTTCAGCTCCTAAGTAAATGCATCACAACAACATATGGAGTCCCACAACAAACCTGTGTGAAAAGCATGTCTACTTTTTAAAAAAGTCAAGAAAAATATATTTCTTGGAAGGTATACGGAAAAATAAATGTTTGTGGCACTGAATTTGAAGTAATTTTCAGTGTGTCATTTTCCTCACTGAAACTTATGGCAGCTATTTCTTTTAAGAGGGGATGGGAAACCAAAAAAGTGTTTCATAAAATTTCCTTGATCAGGATTTGTTTAGGAATTATCTGTTTTTCCTAGATAGCCCTAAAGACCACATTTTAATAAAACAGCTAAAAGGCACCAGATAAGATAATTATGGTCAAATATGGTAGGCCAATCCTACCAGAGAGAGCTTGGAAAGATCAGGATACGAAGAAGAGAAATTAGAAATGACAAAAGCTATCCTTTTTGTATTACTATACGTCTGTAGCCTGAGCAATAACTAGTCAGAAATTACAGATTGGTTATCAGATCTTAGATGGAGAGGCAACTTAGGATAATGATTAAAAAAAAAAAGCAGAAGGCAACAAAAACTCATTGATCCTTTGAACAGCAGGTAAGAGATTGTCAGATGCAAAATGTATACAAGGAAGAGAAGGAGTGTCTCCATACATAAGTACAGAGAAATACCAAAGTATTTCTAAAGTCTTAAAAAGAAAACCGGAGGTTACCCAAAACATTTTTGGGGCGGGGGGAGGTGGATATATGGAGCTTGCCTTTATAGTGTTATCTACCATGACACTCAAGATAAAACTTGACAAGATTCTATTTTAAACTCTTCCCTTGAAAGCTCTACTAGGAGTTGGTATCATAGTAATCATAGATATTTTCAACCAAAACTCTTATATAACTTCTTCCAGTGGCTTGGAATTAACCAACAATGTTGAAACGCATAATCTTAAACAGGGCACCAAGATACCATCTGCATATCCCTCTAACAAGCCATCATTTGGAAAACCCTAAAGAAAATGAAAACAAAATTATTCCCAAGCCACTTTTGCTATTTGGTTCTATGAAGTTTTACCTCCATGATAGTGTTACAGCATCTCTGCATCTTGACATAGCCTTGACATACAATCCAGCCGGGATGCATTTCAAACAACAACATTTCAGATCTTGGCAAATCTGGACTGTCCTTTTTTCCAGAGGCGGCCAAAATGCAGATTTTATTCATTTATTTCATTCTTCACTTTTCAATTGGAGAGCAGCTGCCTCATCCTCAAGAAAAGAGTTAAGCATTGGGCTCATGGTGGAAGAAACTGAAGAAAGGTCCTTTGGGGAAAGAATGGGCTTGGAATGCTTTGAAAATGGAATGGAAGATCACAGGCAAAGTTTATTATAAAACTTTCTGGTGTCCTGAGCTCTTTTTCAAAGTGTATAAGAAGCAGCAATATATAAATGAGTTGTTCTCATTTTAAAAAAAAAACAAATAACTTTTAGGCTGAAATACCGTATTTTTTCAGAGAATCAGACACACCCTTTCCCCCCAAAAAGAGAGTGAAAATCTGGGTGCATCTTATACACTGAATACCTTTCCACCCCAAAAAGAGAGTGAAAATCTGAATGCATCTTATACACTGAATACAGCATTTTTGGCCTCCTGAAACCCCACCCACGTTACAAAAATGGACGTGCAGAGGTTTGGGAGGCCTGCAAAGTGCTCCTGGGATCTGGGGAGGGCTAAAATGAGCAAAAAACTGACATACAATCCAGCTGTTTTTGCCCTCCTATCCCCCAAGAGCACTCTACAAGCCTCCTAAAGGCTATGCATGCCCATTTTGTTTGGCAAAAAAAGGGCCTATTTTCGCAAAAAATGGGCCGTTCTTTTGCTTGTTTTTGGCCCCCTCTCCCAAGGAGCACTTTGCAGGCCTCTCAAACTCCCTGCATGCCCCGGTTTTCACAAAAAATGAGGCATGCAGAGGGTTTGGGAGGTCTGCAGAGTGCAAAAACTTTTTAAAAAAATTTACCTCTTCAAAATCTTGGTGCGTCTTATACTCCAAAAAATACGGTACATTTATAAATAATTTTGTTCCAAATCATAATTTCCAATCCCATCTCTAATTATTATACAAAATTCTACATCCAGGTAACCCTGTATCAACTTTATAAGATCTATTTTTTAAAAAATAAACTACATATATAAAAATATAGTTAGTAGCCATTTTTAAAAAATTCTGGCCAATTACAAGTTTAATTTAAAATTAGTTATTTCCAAAGATTCTCACGTTACACTCAGGGGTTGCTATGAAAGTTTAAAAACTGTGAACAGCAACTTTGAATTCTTCAACCTAATGATGGTTGTGTGGCCTGGACGGCTTCAATTTATTAAACAAGAATTTATCTATACATAAGTGAGGGTATATTTTATTTATCTGACTTTTAGTGTAGATTAGTGCCTTCTAGTTTTTTTGCAGCATGAAATACCAAAATATTTATATTGTCTCATCCATGACCAAAAGACCAAAAGAGACATGGAGATGAAAGAATTAAAGTGTGGCTAAAATTGATTTGTGAGTCTGTTGAAACTGACAAGCAAATAGGAGGCCATTTTTTTAAAGTTAATGCTCATCAGACTATCTACAGCAGCAGCCCCCCAACCTCTTGGGGTCCAAAGACCGATTCTGTGAAGGGAGGTTTTTCTGCAGACTAGAGGGGGCATTTTTGATCAGTGTGACTTTAAGCCTACCGCAAATCACAAGAACCAAGAATTA